CTTCCAAACATGGTGATAAAAATACTGCACAACAATAAACCCGTCTCCGTTCCCCTAACCGGCATGCGAAGCGCCGGTGCATCCTCAGACACCAAAGAGGACATGCTAGAGATCTTCCAAACTGACGTCAACGGCCAATTCCGGGAACTGAAAAAGTTAATGGGCAGGAGGAACTACGCCATTTTCTGCGCTTTTGACCCGCAATCCACCGCCGGCAGCCCCATCGGCGCTGCAAGCGTGCAAGGCGGAAGCCTAAGCCTCGCGGTGGATTTCATCGTCCAGGGCGAGGGACTATACTCTAACACTGCCAAATATGGGCCGGTGGTTGTCCCCAAGGTTGAATTTGGACATTAGTACAGTACCCACTATATTATACACACGACTACTAATGAAGGAGTGGAAAGCGGGACGGGGTATAGTAGGGTCTCGCATTCATGCGCATTTTTGTTTATACCTGTTTGCGATTTTTCTTTCTCTTCCCTCCCGAACCGTGCGAGTAACTATGGTACTCGGTTAACTTGGTTTGCTTTTTGTCGAGGTTTTGAGTTGTCATCGTTGAAGGGCGTTTGATATCAGAGCTTGTTAGCGTTGTAAATATCAGTCAGGGCCTGTTCAGTATGCCAAAAATATTATAGTATTTCCACTTTTACAACGTATATTTCTTGTGGTATTATATTTTTACTTCAGTTTGGCCTAGTGTTCGGCATGTCGCAGATATCATACTATAGAATTATTTCCCTTACAATGGTATTTTCCTATAGAATTTAAGAGGAGATGAAAGGAAAGGGAGATTCTCCTTTAGGTCATACAACAGCCATCTCAAGGATTTCAACCAAGTTATTCCTTATTAAATTTTAATTGAATCAGCACGGTGAAAACACAACAGCAAAAAAAAAAGTTATCAAAATATCATAATAATGTGCACGAATTGTGGAATATACATGTTACCACATCCTTTAGGCACGCATCGTAAATAGTGAGGATTATATATCCCACTACCGTACTCATAAGATCAGCCTGATATATATATATATATAAATACCGCATTAAAACCCCCGGGTCAACCGGGCACCTTTTTTTTATTGGTATCATACATGGTGAACAGGCATTTACTCGGTCAAGTCTGCTCAGTTGCCCCCCCCCCAACCCAATCGAGGTAGTGATAGCGGGGTGAATTATGTACGATATGATACGGTACATAAGTTAGTTTGGACCCCGGTTCACAGGAAAGCACTCGACCGTTTTTCTGCTCTGGTGCCATGTCCCAAACCAAAAGTTACAGTGCAGAAAAGACCCCCTCCTAATCAGCACACCGTACCGCGCCATATGTTGATTAAATTACTTGTATATTCCAAGCTTCAACACCCGGCTCTTCCCCGCTCTAGCAGGCCAAGCAAATTATGGCAACCATAGCCTCTGGTATCCCTCGAAATACCATAGCTAAAAAAAAAGGAAAAAAGGAAAAAATCGACAGAAATCAACACAATCTCCATCCTCCGTAAAAATTATCATTGCCATCACGAAACTAGTCAATTAATATCGATATCTAGATTTATACACGTAAAAAGAAATATGTAAAGCAAAAGGGACTAAGGTCTTGTTTGGAGCGTATTAAGAGGTAATAAAGGAAAAAGCAAACACCAATTACACCTTCCGGTCCTTTTTTGTTTCCTTCCCCCCATCTGCAATCTACTCTACCATTCTACCATTAAATTAACAATCAAACTAAGGATCACGCCTAACCCACTCGATGATACACGGGGGGGTCGGGAGAGCGATCATAGACTGCGATCCCGCTGTTAGCAACCGCGCAAAGAGAAGGGGCAGCAGGGAACAAACAGAGTAGTCGGGAGCAGGAACGTCGTCGCCGCCACCAGGTCTCTGCATCTCAAAGTTACGAACAAAAGTTGCCATGATAGTCATCAGTTGAACATTCGCAAACTGTTCGCCAATGCACCTATGACGGCCAGCGCCGAACGGAAGGTAGGGGGACGCGGTGCCCTTAGAAATAAGACCAAATCCGAAATCAAACTTCTCAGCCTCCTCTTCAGGCTTCTGATCGTCCCAGCGGTTGGGGTCGAAGCGGTCGGGCTCCTTGAAGTATTTCTGGTCCATGGCAGAAACTCCAGGGGCAGCGAGCAGGTAATGGCCCTTAGGGATAACCCAGTTGGTGCCGTCGACAGGCATAGGAGATTTAACCTTTCGGAGAATAGAGTGAAGAGGAGGGTGCATTCTGAGAGTCTCGCGGAGGATTTGGGCGAGGAAGGTGCACTCGAGGACCAGCTTCTCATATGTCAGAGGAGCGAGTTCGTCACCAAACACACGCTTCTGCTCTGCCAGAATCCGGGCGACAATCTTCGGTTGAGCAGCAACATGGAGCAACATCCATGTAATGGTTGCCATTGAAGTGTGTTGCCCAGCCATG